AAGAATCCCCCATACTCCACCTCAAATCTTAGCTGATTTTTTAAGGCTTTCAACTTCTTGATTTTTTTCAGTAATCGTTAATCTAACCTTTAATAATTCCCTCTCTAATCCCTCAATATTTTCCAATTCGCTAACCATAATATTCAATTTTAACAAATTAATCTAAATAAACACCTAAAAATATGACAAATAATTACGATACACCCAGTAAAGACGAACAATGAGAACCCTCTACTACCAATAGAGATAATTTAAAAGGAAGTTCAACAGTTCGAAATTTAATTGGAGTTGTTAATAATTGCGTAAAAGTTTTTAACAATTCTGTCGGAACAACAGCTAAATGATTATCTTTTGGACACGTTGACATTACACTACCAGAACTAGACCCTGATAAAACAGCTGATGAACTTATGTCAGGTGGTGGTGCTATTTCTCTCGGGATAATTGATGATGCTATTAAATTAGCTGGTAAAACCCCTTTTGTTGGTTGATTATTAACTCCGGTTGAATTTGCCGTTGACCATTTAAAAGATGCTATGACTTCAATGGCTTTTTCTGGATTATCCGCCGACATCGGAGACCTCAAAGAAGGACAAGCTAAACTAAATGCCAAAGTAGATGCTCAGGGTAAAAGATTAAGTGAAAAAATGAACGGCATTAAGTCGGAATTAGAGAAAAATTTAACCGAAGCCAAAAAAGAATTAGAAGAAAAACTCAAAAATGCTGATGAAAACCAAAAAAAAGAACTCAAAAAAGCTAAAGAGGAATTGCAAAGACAAATTGAAGGAGTTCAAGAAAGTCTCAACCAAGTCGAACGACAACTCACTAATGCTTTAAATGACTTCCGTAACGAAACTAACGAACGCTTTGCCGAACAAGAACAAAAAATCCTTAACAACAAAAGAAAGATTGAAGAAGAACGTTTAGCAAGAGAAGCAGAAATTCGAGAAAAAAAAGACCAAATCAAACTAACTGCTACTAATCTAGAAAATCTCAGAAAAGAAAAAGGACAATTAGAGGATGAATTCCTGACTTACAAATCTCAGAGGGTAAATAATACTATTACTAGGGAATATAAAGGGTATTGGAGATAATCTCAATTACTTTCTTGATGGGGTT